ACTCTGTTATGAATGGTTTCCTATTGCCAACAGAGGAAGTCCTAACTGTTTTACACTGAATCAAGTAGACAGATCTCTTCATAGTATTAGAAGTAACTCAGCTTTTTTTATTTTATTTTATTTTTTTGGAGAGATTTTCACTGTAGGGTGCGTGCGCTTGCCAGACAGACAGAGAGAGACATAGAGACAGAAAGCGAGAAATCACCCCCCAGGGGGGATGGTCACGCCGCAATCCCTTCTCCTCCATTCTCCTCTCGGGATCTTGGGCACGCACGCACACGCGCCCGGCGTGAGTTTTAAGCCACCGGGTCCGGGACACGAACCGCAGTCGACTACGTGGGAGTCCAGCGACATAGCCATTACGCTAACTGCTGGTTCCCACTCAGCTTTTGATTTAAGCAACTCTAATTAGTTTTCATCTCACAGGCACCATACATTATACAGTTGATCATGTTTTCTTCTTTGCCTTTGAAACTGGAAAGCTCAGAGTTTATGATTTACCTCTGGTGGGTATATAGAACTCATGGCATGTATGGGGATATGGCCTCATTCCTAGCTTCATATATTTCCTTTTTCTGCTTCCTGCCTTTGATTTTTATTTATCCTCTGCAGTCAGCTCCATGACTGGCTCAAGGCCTCATTTCCTCCTCCTTCACCACCACCACTACCACCCACTTGCCCTTTGCAGCCACTTCATTCTGTGTCGTTTTCTACATCCTATCAAATACTTCATTCCTCCCTGCATTGGGTCATGTACTTCCCTTCGTTTAAAACTCTGTCTTCTCCTACTCTTCCTTCTTGTTAACTTACTCAGCTCTATCCTCAGCCAAAATCCTTTCCCGACACTATCCTCCTGTCTGTAAAACTGACTGATGCCTCCTTTGTAGCCCTCTGCCCTTATTCAGACTTCTGTTACTGAGCCCATAAAAATGTACTAAATTCATTTATTCATAAAACAATCTACCTCTGTTAGGTCATGGACAGAGACAAGAGCTTATTGTTCTTTGTATCCTCCATGCCCAATACAAGGAAGGGAAGAATAAATTAAGCAGTGGTAGGTGTGGTAGATGATTCAAAATGCAAATGAAAGATGGTCATTGAACTTTGCATTGTGGAGATAATTCTTGACCTTTGTTAGAGCCCTTAGGAGAAGGATGGCCAGATTATATTAGAAAGAGAAAGAATTTGAAAACACAGTAGAAAGGAATAAGGACAGGGGAGATGGAGGACCAGGGAGACTGGGAATAGCAGAGAGGGATGAGGAGAGGAGCAGAGGGAGTGAGTGAAGTGCTACTGGCCGTGGAGGACAAGGCTCTACATAGCCATCTGAGAGTGTATTCCTAGTGTAAGCACAGTGGGCCTATGGCCAGTGTTCCTTTAGTGACTGATATAGGTAAGTGTAGTAGGTCTTCAGCTTGTGCGTTCACTAAATTGAAATCTCCTTTTAGCAAGAGGCTTTCTTTGCTTCATAGAAGTGCTTTCTGGCTCATGTTTGGTATTTACTGTATATCTGCCTTTTTAAAAAAAGTTTTTAGGTGGCTAAGTCCCACATTATGATTTCTGTGTCTTAAATTGCTAACACAGTATCCTGTGCATAGTAGTTTCCTACATGCTTTTTATTTGTGCTTCATTACTTTTTGATTTTTATGACATCTAAATTGTACACCAATAATGCATCCTAAATAATACTAACCAGTACAGACAAAATTGTTTTGACTCTTTAGATTCATAAATGTTTTTCCTGTGAAACAAATTGTAAAATGTAGAAGTGAAAAGCCACCCCCAATCACCAGCCCAGGCCTGCTGCTATCTTCATTGATTCAGGGTTTGCTCATGATAGTCCCTGAGAATACTGCTCACCTCCATCTGAGCACCATTTTCACATCTTTTAGATAAATGTCAACATCATCTCTTTTTCTCTCTCTCTCTCTTTTTTTTTTTTTCCTTTAGAGAGCTTTTTACTCTAGGCTACATGTACTTGCCAGAGAGATAGAGAGACAGAAAGTGAGAAATCACCATCGGGGGTGGGGGTGGTGGTGGCCACACCACAGTTCCTTCTCCTCCATTTTCCTCTCAGGATTTGGGGCACACATGTACACACACCCAGTGTGAGTTTCAAGCCACCAGGTCCAGTACTTGAACCGCAGTCAGCCATGTGGGAATCCAGCAGTGTAATTGCTGGATTACATACTACATAATACAATATAATCAATTATATTATGCCATCTGCTGGTCCCAACCACCTCTTCTTTGTAGCCTTTCCTGATACCCCTCTGCCTACTCCAAAATACTGACTGATACTCTGCCAAAGTTGAAAATAAAATTCAGTGTCTCAGGCCAGCTAGTGGTGTGGTGGTTAAGCTAGATTCCACATGAGTGATTGCAGTTTGAGCCCCAGATCCAGCAGCCTGAAAAACATGCCAGGTGTGTATATGTGCATGCCCAAATTCCTAAAAGGAGAAATGGAGAACTGATTGTGGCATGGCCATCTCCTACGGGGAGTAGGTGGTGTTCTCCCCTCTCTCTCTCTCTTTATCTCTCTGTTCTGAAAAACATGCCAGGTGTGTATATGTGCATGCCCAAATGGAGGTGTGTATATGTGCATGCCCAGAAATGGAGAACTGATTGTGGCATGGCCATCTCCTACGGGGAGTAGGTGGTGTTCTCACCTCTCTCTCTCTCTTTATCTCTCTGTTTCTCCTAGGTGATCATATGCATGTTCAAAAAACCAATCAAACAAAAAAAGTCTCTTTAAATTTATTGTTAAAATTTGTTGTTGTTATAAGGTATATGACAGAACAAAGCTATATTTTCAGAAATGCCATTAAAGTTATATGTACTGAAAATAACAATAACTTTCCTAACATAAGAAGTCTTTCCACAGTGACTTACATTAGTTAGAGGGTCCAGAGTTCAGAGTTCAAGGGGTGTTGCCCAACTTGTAGTTGTGCTTCTCCAACTGCTGTTCTTCTGAATCACTCCAACATAACAATAAGTTTCAAGGATTTTTTTCTGAATTACATGATGCAATGGGGGAAGGAAAACACTACAGCACTTTATTCCTTAGCGGTTTAGCTGTAATGCATACTTAGCAGGTTGTTGCTAGATATATTTAAGGCTTGTTTAAATGTGTGTCAGGGTTAGGATGGTCCTTAGCCTGGCGGTTAAGAGAGCCAGCTCCCACATGGCCAACCATGGTTCAAATCCCACCCTTGGAGGCTTGAAAAACATGCTGGGTATATGAGCTCAGAATCCCAATAGTTTAGAGAAATGAAGGTGAAGGGATTGTGGTATGACTATGCCCTATTACAGTGGTGCTTCCTCTCACCCCTGTGTGTTTGTGTGTGTGTGTGTGTGTCTCTCTTTCTCATGCATACATACACCTTCTGGCAAAAATAAATGAATGAATGAATGAATGAATGGTTTCAGAGCCTTTCCTAGAACTGAAAACACGTGAGTAGGTAGTCATTGGTTTAAGATAAGAAGTTACAGATTATTTTTAATTACCATTTTAATAAATGCTCAGGCACCAGATTCTGTGGTATTTTGAGCTGAAATATATAAAGCATTAAGCCAGGAGTCTAGTAAATGCTCAAGTATTGGATTGAGAGATGTTTTGAGCTGAAATACATAAAACATTAAGCAAGGAGTCTGAAAACCTGGGTTCAAATCCTGCTCACACTCACAAGCTATGTGGCCATTAGCACAGTTGTAATAACCCCAAAAATGTGCTCTCATTTTCATGAGAGCATCCTTGAGATGCTAAAAGGAAAAGAAAATGAGACAGTGCTTGAGAACTACAATGCATTGTACAAAAATGATAGTCTTCTTAACCCCAGACAGGTGGATGGCCCTACTCTGAATACTTAGCCAATTGGTAACATGACGTTTCTACTCTAAGAATAGAAACTGTGGGACCAACAGATGGCGTAATGGTTACATTACTGGACTTCCACATGGTTGACTATGGTTCAAGTCCCAGACCTGGCAGCTTAAAACTCACACCAGGCACGTGTGTGTGTGTGTGCGCGTGCCCCAAATCCCGAGAGAACAGAAGAGAAGGGATTGTGATGTGTTAGAGAGGAGAACAGAGGAGAAGGGATTGTGGTGTGTTCATCCTCCCAGGGGGTGATTTCTCATTCTCTGTCTCTAGCAAACACATGAACCCCATAGTAAAAATCTCTCTGTCTCTAAAAAAAAGACATTCTATTTTGATAATTAATATATGGATACTTTAGGACTTAGCTTTTGAGAATTTAAATAATATCATACTGGAAAGGTTTTTGTTTTGTTTTGTTTTAGCTTATTTCTTTTATGAAACATTGAGACAGGTAGCCCTAATAGGGTCTCATATGTCCTGATCCTCCCCACAGCCTCTCAGCCAGCCAGGATCACAGGCATACAGGGGCTCATCCATTGTGTTTAGGTCAACCTGCCATCTGAACCTGGGCTTGCCACGTGATTCTAGTATAATGCACTGGTATCCTACTGCCTACCTACCATCACGTTTGGGCCTCTGAAAAAGTATTTTTAAAAATGTTTTAAAATTACCTTCATTCTAGTATCTATAATATTGTGATTTAAACTTCTCAAAAATATTGCTACTATAGCTTTTTCACTATATATGAGTTTTTAAAAGTGAATTGTTTTTTGGAAGGCTATACTTAAGATGCTTTATTTGAGAAAGAGAAAATTAAAAATAGAAATTTGGAGTGGGGAGAACTACAGAATATGAAGAATCAGGTACTCTCTGAAATTTTAATATATAAAATCTGTTGGAGTATAAGTTTATATAAGTGTACATCTGTTTCATAAACACACTTCAGACTTCCTGGGTGCAGCTTCTTTGAAATCCCTGAGGAGGTAGTTAAGGATGGATTATTGAAGGACAAAGTAGGCTGCTTAAGTTTCAAAGCCTGATGCATTAAGGGAAGTATCCATTGTTACTGAAGCCTCACACCAAAGCTGTGTTCATTAACCATGAACCTGTTCCTCCACAGATTCCGAGTCCGAACAGTCTCTGAGTAGATTGGAAGTAGTGACAGCACGCTCCTTTGAAGAGGAAGGAGAGCATTCGAGCAGTAGAAGACACAGAATGTCCGAAGGAAAAGATTGTGGCGGTGGAGATGCTCTCTCCAATGGCATCAAAAAACACAGGTAGGAGAGCCTTTAACAGTTACCATTGCTGTCTTCATATGGTAGAGTACATTTGGAATCATACTGAAGTGAATAGCTTCTCTTCATCTCCCTGCAACCTTCTGTGTTGAGTATTTGTATCATTTTGTCTCCTCAAAGAAAGGATCTAACTTAAGTACTTTTTCCTTAGTCCATTTAAAAGAATATTGTCTGCAATTATAGAAACACAGGTTGAGACTTGGTTTTAACAATCTTGTTTTTAGGGGAACACATAAATCCTTTAGTTGACGACTTCAAAAGGTTATTCAGAACTACCTATTGAAACTGATGCTTGTTCCCCTTTTCATCATACATGTTTTATGACTCTGTCTCCCAATGCTATTTTAGTTTCTGGTCACTTGATCCTCTTGTTGGTTTTATTAAGAACGAATGGCAATATTGCCAGCCTGTTGACACAATTTCGTTAAACAAAGATCGTCATTAAGACCCAAGATTTGCTGAACATAACCATTTTATATTGTCAATGACATTAGTATGTTTCTATTCGGCTGATGGTTTGGTACTAGAGATTGTTCTGGTTAATGAGACGTAATAAACACCATAGTTCTCTGGTTTCAGCACAAGTTTACAGACATAGTGGCATGTGTGCATCCTGTTATTCATGTAGTAATATATTTCATAAAATTATCAGTGAGGGATATATCCTGTTATTGTAGAAATCACTGCTTGGGTAAGGACTTACTGAGTTATTCTATAAAATTGGTTTTTGTTTGTCTAATATTTGTGGATTGCATAATTCTGGTATCATTTCTGTATCATGATTCTGGCCACAACTGCTCTCAACTATTGTTCTGGAAAAAGTGTACACATCACTTCCATGATTTATGTGTTTTTTCAGTTTGGGTACAGAAATGTCTCAGTATGTATTTATTTAAGATCAATGAGTTTTAGGTAACTAACAATAAGATAAAAACTGTTTTTATCTAACCATGCTTATTTTTATTATTATTATTTTAATCTGCCAGAGGGTGTGTACGCTCACTGCAAAGAGTGGAGTCCTGGAGAGTGAGAAAGCACCCCTATGGTACTGGCCATGCCACTATCCCTTCTCCATTTATCCCTCTTGTTGGGATTTTGGACACATATGCACCCGCACGTGGCATGTTTCTCAAGCCACCAGGTCCAGGACTTGAAACGCATGGTTTGCCATGAGGGTTCCAGTCACCTTAACCGTCATGCCATAGGCTGGTCCTAAACATGCTTATTAATGTTTATCCTTTGACCAAATTATGTGGTCAGTAGTGAGTGTCCTCATTCCCTTCTGCAGTTACTGTGAGCTCCTTTGGAGACCAGGACTACATTGTGTCCAGGATATGAAATACCTGACAGTAATGCCTGACCGTTTACCAATCCCTAAAGAGAAGGCAACCTTTAACTATTTAACACATACCTTGTGCTCATCAGTGAGAACACGGGAAATCTTTGGAAAGTTTGAAGAAGCATACAAATACTCAGTGTAATTATTAAAATATCAGAATGAACACTGTGCTTAGACCCTGTTATATGTTATGGCCGGGAGATTTCTCTACTTGTCAGGACCCACTAGTCATTTTGTATGTGTGCTATAATCACAGCAGTTATTTTGCATTTGATAGAATTATACTGCATTCATATATTCTGTCTTCTATCTTAGTTAAACCCAGGATGGTGCAAATTGAAAGTATATGATGGAAGTGGTCAGAAAAATGAAATCAGGACAGGTTATTAAGGAAGATAAAAAAGAAATGCAATTAGGTAGTGACCTAACCTGAAGAGGTAAACTGATAAATGAGATGCAGCGTATTCAAACTACAAATGTAGGGAACCAGCAGTTAGTGTAATGGCTATGTCGCTGGACTCTCACATAGTCAACTGCGGTTCGCGTCCTGGACCCAGTGGCTTAAAACTCACGCCAGGCGCGTGTGCGTGCATGCCCAAGATCCCGAGAAGAGAATGGAGGAGAAGGGATTGCGGTGTGACCATCCCCCCTGGGGGGTGATTTCTCGCTTTCTGTCTCTATGTCTCTCTCTGTCTTCTGTCGAGTGTACACACCCTATAGCGAAAATCTCTCCAAAAAATAAAAACAAAACCAAAAACTACAAATGTAATTACAGCAGTCTTTATTATTCAAAACAAAAGAGGAAACCTGTAGGAAATTGTCAGCAGCCTAATATGTAAGAAAACATACAATTTCCTAGTTTACATACAAAACCTCTCCCAAAAAAAAGGAGCTTTCATAGAAATTTCTTAAAAACTTATTTTTTTTAATAAAGTTTTTCTCTAATCAAATAGAACATAAGCCACACATGATTAAAAAGTTTAACTTTAGGGGACCAACAGAGGGTGTAATTGTTAGGTTGCTGGAATCCAATGCAATAGACCATGGTTTGAGTCCCATACCTGGCAGCTTAAGACTGATGGCAGGCATGTGTGTGTGTGTGTGAGCCCAAAATCCCAAGAGGAGAATGGAGGAGAGGGACTGTGGCATAGCCATCCTCCCTGGGGGGTGATTTCTTGCTTTCTGTCTCATTGTCTCTCCAGCGAGTATATGCGCCCTATAGCAAAAATCCCTCTTTTAAAAAAAAAGTTTGGGACCAGCAGTTGGTGTAATGACTATGTCTCTGGACTCGCATGTAGTCGGCTGCAGTTCTAGTCCCAGACCCAGTGGCTTAAAATCACACTACGCGCATGTGTGTGCGTGGCCAAGATCCCAAGAGGAGAATGGAGGAGTAGGGATTGCAGCATGGCCATCTCCCCTGTGGAGTGATTTCTTGCCTTCTGTCTCACTCTGTCTTTTTAGCAAGCACACGCGCCCTATAGCAAAAACCTCTCAAAAAATAAAAAAGTTTAACTTTAGCATAGGAATAAAGCTAGAGTATTCAGTGTTATTAAATCCCTCTTGCCTGTATTCCAAATTACAATATAAGTAATCCAGTTTTATAATAGCAGTTATTGTATTGATATTCATTAATTAATTCAGTTAGTTAATTTGAGTGATATTTTGGAAAAGTAGACACATATTGCTGTGTGATCTGGAGGATCAGCCTGAAGTGACCATGACGCTTATTTAAAGTATGAGGACTTTTCAGAAAGTTTATTTGTCTGTTCTGTGAGTGAGAGAGAGAGAAAGACAGAGTTACAACACTCCCAACAGTGTCTTCACACTGCAGTCCACGACCAGACCCAGCCAACCCAGATTACCGGCACACACGTCCCTAGCATTCCCTGGGAGGTTTCCAGATGCAAACTGGTAACCTTTCCATGTGGGCCACCTCACAGAGCATCGTGTTTTACAATTAACTACTGTCTGGCCTCTGAAGTCTTTCATTTTTATCTTTAAAATTCATATGAAATTCGTATATGAACTCATTATATATTTCCATTTTCTTTCTTATTGAGAAATAATTCACTTACCACTTAGCAGTCCCATAAAAATCTTGTATTTGCCTCCCATCTCATACCAGTTACTCCTTGATAATTACAGGGAGACTTCAAAAACTTCATGAAAAAAATGGGATTAAAATATGAGTTTATTTTTATGTAAAAAATAGTTTACATACATGCATAATTTTTTCATTATAAGCATTTTCCATGAGCTTTTTGATGGTCCATCATATGCACTTAAATTTAGGAAGGGAGGGGCCGGCTTGTGGCGTGGTGGTTAAAGGTGCCGGATTCCCGTGGGTGGAGTGGTAGTTAAAGGTGCCAGATTCCCACATGGCCATCTCTGGTTCAAGTCTGGGACCTGGTTGCTTCTTTCTCACTTTCCCTCTCTCTTTTTTTTTTTTTTTTTTGTCTCTCTCTGGTCAAATTGAAAAATAATAATAAATACAGTTAAAATAAAATCATTTTTAAAAGTTTAAGAAGGGAGACATGAGAAAAGAAAATCCTTACAAGAGAAAATCCTTACAAATTGTAGTTCACATGAAAAGTATTAAATCTCAGTTTAACTAACTTACTGGTAAAAATAGAATGAAGATTTTCAGCCATTTTTTCCCTAAGCCCTGTGGAAACTATTAAAATCTCACACTTCCTTTTGATGGTATGTTTTTCCCATAAAATACATCAAGGTGCTTTGTGCACAATTAGCCTGCACCATGCCATAGTCAGATTTATATTTATAGGGCCTATTGCTGCATTGGCAGTGTCCCATAGAACTGTTCTCTGTACTTGGCCCTAATTTATTAGTTATTCTGAGCTCCCTAACTTGCTAGCAGTTTTCCCTAAGTCATTATATTTGGCAAAGATAATTGATATTTATTTCAACCATGTCACTGGAAACAGTGTAAAAGATACTAATGTAAAGCACATTAATCACAGTCTAAAACACCAGATCCATATAACAACACTGTAATTGTCATTCACTATATTGGTTGCATTAATAGATTAGAGAAAACCTTATTCAAATACATTGAAAACTTCAACCAAAGTAAATAGACATTCATGATAAATAAATATCTTTGCAAACTACAAATAGAGGCAAGCCTCTATGGTTAAAAATTGTAACAAGTGGGCCAGCCGGTGGCATGGTGGCTGGAGTGCTGGACGCCCACATGGCTGACTGCAGTTTGAGTCCTGGACCTGGTGGCTTGCTTTCTCACTTTCCCTTTTTCTCTCTGTCTCTGTCTGGTCAAATTAAAAAATAATTATAAGTAAAATAAATAATTATTTAAAAATTCCAATGAACATATTGCCTGATAAGGAGATATTAATACATTTCTTATACAACATCAGAAATAAGAGGATGCCTATTCTCATCTTTTCTCTTCAGTATTAATTGGAGGTCATAGCCAGAGATATAACATACACAGATACAATTTAGAAATAAACAAAATTGTTATTATCTGCAGATAATACGATTATCTACATAGAAAATGCATAGTATCTACATAAAAATTATTAAGAGTTAATAAAGTTTGACAAGGTTGCTTTATGTAAAATAACCAGTTACATTTCTGTAAACCATCCATAGACACTGATTA